TTTTTTTTTTTTTTTTTTGCGGTATGCGGGCCTCTCACTGTTGTGGCCTCTCCCGTTGTGGAGCACAGGCTCCGGACGTGCAGGCTCAGCGGCCATGGCTCACAGGCCCAGCCGCTCCGCGGCATGTGGGATCTTCCCAGACCAGGACACGAACCCGTGTCCCCTGCATCGTCAGATGGACTCTCAACCACTGCACCGCCAGGGAAGCCCTTCTACCCATTTTTTAAGTGGTTTGTTTGTTTTTTTAGTGTTGAGTTGTATCAGCTATCTGTATATTTTGAATATTAGCCATTTCTGGTCATAGCATTTGTAAGTATTTTCTCTCATTCAGAAGGTTGTCTTTTTGTTTTATTGATGGTTTCCTTTGCTGTCAGAAGCTTTTAAGTTCAATTAGTCTGTATTTGTTTATTTTTGCTTTTGCTTACTTTGTCTTAGGAGATGGGCCCCCCAAAATATTGTTGTGATTTATGTCATAGAGTGGTCTGCCTGTATTTTCTTTCAGGAGTTGAATTCGTTTGCTAATATTTTGTTGAGGAATTTTGCATCTATATTCATCAGAGATATTGGCTGTAATTTTCTTTTTTTGTAGTAACTTTGTCTGGTTTGGGTATCAGTGTAATGGTGGCCTTGTAGAATGAATTTGGATGTACTTCCTACTCTTCAATTTTTTGGTTTTCAGTCTTTATGTCTTTAATCCATTTTGAGTTTATTTTCATATACAATGTGAGAAAATGTTCTAGTTTCATTATTTTATACGTGTAACTGTGCAGTTTTCCCCAGCACCATTATTGAAGTGACTGTCTTTTTCCCATTTTATACTCTTGCTTCCTTTGTTGTACATTAATTGACCATAAGTTTGTGGAATTATTTCTGGGCCCTATTCTTATCCATTGATCTATGTGTCTATTTCTGTGCCAGTACCATACTGTTTTGATTACTTCATCTTTGTATTTTAGTCTGAAGTCAGGTAGTGTGATACTTTCAGGTTTCTTCTTTTTTCTCAAGATGGCTTTGGTTATTCAGAGTCTTTCGTGGTTCCTTATTAATTTAAGGATTCCTTAAATAAGGTGGTTCCTTAATAAATCCTTATTTATTAAGGATTTCGTGGTTCCTTAATAAATAAATAATAAATAATAAATAAATAATAAATAAATAAATAAATAATAAATAAATAAATAAAAAGTCTTTCGTGGTTCCTTAATAAATCCTTATTAATTTAAGGATTATTTATTGTAGTTCTGTGAAAAATGTCATTATATTTTGATAGGGATTGCATTAAATTTGTTGATTGCATTGGGTAGTGTGTTCATTTTAACAATGGTAATTTTTCCAAGTCATGAATTTGAAATATCTTTTCATTTCTTTATATCACCTTCCATTTCCTTCATTAGCATCTTACAGTTTTCTGAGTATAGGTCTTTCACTTCCTGGTTAAGTTTATTCCTACGTATTCTATTATTTTTGTTGCAATTTTAAATGGGATTATTTGCTTGTTTGTTTTCTGAAATTTAATTATTAGTGTAAAGAAATGGAACAGATTTCTGTATATTAATCTTGTATTCTACAACTTCCATGAATTCATTTATTAGTTCTAATAGTTTTTTAGTGGGAACTTTAGGGTTTTGTATATATAGTTTCATAGCATCTACATATAGTGACTATTTTACTTCTTCCCTTCCAATGTGGATGCCTTTTATTGATTGCTGTGGCTAGGATGTCCAACACTTTTAAATAGGAGTTGAGAGTAAGTATCTTTGTCCTATTCCAGATATTAGAGGAAAAGCTTTTACTTTTTCACCACTGAATATGATATTAGCTCTTGTATGATCATATATGGCCTTCATTATTTTCAGATAAATTACCTCCATAGCAAATTAATCATTAATGGATACCAAATTTCTCAAAAAAAATGTTCTGAGTCTATTGGGATGATCATGTGATTTTTATCCTTCCTTGTGTTAATATGGTAAATCGTATCTATTGACCTGTGAATATTGAGCCATCCTTGCATCTCTGAAATAAATTCCACTTGATCATGTTATATGATCCTTTTTATATATTGTTGAATTCGGTTTGCTAATATTTTGTTGAGGAATTTTGTATCTATATTCATCAAAGATATTGGCTGTAATTTTCTTTTTTTGTAGTAACTTTAATTTGGGTATCAGTGTAATGTTGGCCTTGTAGAATGAGTTTGGCTGTATTTCCTACTCTTCAATTTTTTGGAATAATTTGAGAAGGAAAGGTATTAACTCTTCTTTTCATGTTTGGTAGAATTCCCCTGTGATGCAGTTTTGTCCTGGACTTTTTTGTTTCCTGGGAGTTTTTTGATTACTATTCAATTTCACTACTAGTGATTGGCCGGTTCATATTGTCTGTTTCCTCCTGATTCACTCTTGGATTATATGTATTTAGAAATTTATCCATATCTTCTAGGTTGTCCAATGTTGACATATAAATGTTCATAGTATTCTTTTATGATTCTTTTATCTCTATGATATTAGTTGTAATTTCTCCTCATTTCTTTTTTGTTTATTTAGGTCCTGTCTTTTATTTTTTCTTGATAAGCCTGTCTAAATGCTTATCAATTTTGATTTCTTTTTCCAAAAAATATCTTTTCATTTTATTAATCTTTTTTATTGTTTCTTGGGTCTTTATTTTATTTGTTTTCTCTCTAATCTTTATTATTAGCACCCTCAGCTGACTTTGGGCTCTCTTTGTTCTTTTTCTAATTACTTTAGATAGTAGGTTAGGTTGTTAATTTGAGAGTTTTCTTGAAGTAAGCCTGTATTGTTATAAGCTTCCCTCTTAGAGTCATTAAACAAGGATTTATGGAGAGAGGTCAAGATGGCATGTTAGGAGGACCTGGGTTTCACCTCTCCCAACAAGTACATCAAGAATACATCTACAAGTGGAACAATTCTCACAGGACACCTGCTGAACACTAGCAGAGGACCTCAGATACCTAAAAGGGCAAGAAAAATTCCTCACATAACTGGGTAGGCTGAAGGAGAGAAAGGGGAGATAAAGAAAAGAGGAAACGGATAGGGCCCTCATCCCTGGGGGAGAGCTGAAGGAGAGGAGAGGTTACTGCACCCAGGGAGGCCCCCTTACCAGCAGCAAGATCAGCTGAAATGGTGAGGAGGTCTTCAGAGGTTATTGGATGAAAGTGCAGCAGCCAGTCTGTGAGAGGCAGGACAGAGCAAGACTTGCACGGACAGTCTGTGCCACAGCCCTGCAATCCCCAGCCTGAGGCAGGGTCTGAGTGCTGAAGTGTCAGATTAGGAGAGCGGACCTGTGGAGAGGACTGCTGTTGGCTGCATGGAGTCAGCCCAAAGGGACAAGAGTGAGGAGCTCTGCTGCGTGGAGACAGCCTGAGGGGACAGGAGTGAGGAGCTCCACAACTGGGAATGCTCCTGGAGGAAGCATGGACTGCCATTGAAGCAAGGCACCATTGTTGAGTGGTGTGCAAGGGGTGGGGCTGCCATCACGGCCTCGCTGCTCACATGCCAGCTCCTCCCTCCATAGGCACTGAGAGGGTCTTCCACCAGAGTGAACATTAATGCCTCAGTCATTGTTACCTTGCCTCCCTCATGCCTGAGTTAGCATGTGTGCCCCACTCTGTCACCACCTCCTGCCAACCCCTGTGTCCACAGGCACTAGAGGGGGATCCCAGCAGAGTGAGCACACAATCCCTAGTCATTGCCACCTTATCCCTCACCCCCCTAAGCAAGCATGCTTGCCCCCATCAGTCACTGCCTCTTGCCCCTTCCTCCTAAGCAACCAAGAGTACCTCAGTCAGCTGTTTCCTTCGCCCCCTGTTGCCTGGGTGGGGAGCAGACACCTGAGGGTGGTCCACATGCAAAGGAGGGGCCAAAACCAAAGCTGAGCCCGAGGGCCTATGTGACTAAGGAAGAGGAACTGAAATCTCTCCATGCAGCTGCACAAGCTGCAGATTAAATACCTGTGATCAGCTTGGTAAACGCTGCATCTGTGGAATATCTGAATGGAAAACAAGTCCTCCCACAACTGAGACCAGTCTTGTTTTAGCAGCTGTGGACTTTGGGGGCATGTACACGTGGGAGCTGGAGCAAGTCAGAGTCTGAGCTGCCCCCACAGTACCCACAGCAGATCCAGAGATTTACCAAGAGGGCCTCATGGGGCGGTAGAGGTTGGCTGTGGCTCACAGTGGGGCAAATGACACTGATAGTGGAGACACTAGGGAATTTGTTTTGTTTTGTTGTTTTATTTCTTTTTATTATTTTTTATTTTTAAAGAATTTTTAGTAAATTTTTTATTTTTCTATTTTTATTTTATTTTTTGTTTTGATTTTTGTTTGATGTTGCTTTGGTTTTTTGTTTCTTTATTGTTTCTATTTTTTTCTATTTTCCTTTGTTGTCTTTTTGTGTGTCTGGTTTTTGTTTTCTTTACTTTTTTGTTTCTTTTTTGTTTGTTTGTTTGGTTTGGTTTTTATTGTTTGTCTTATTTTCTGTTTGCTTGCTTTCTTTTCTTTTTTTTGCCATGTTGGATGGCTTGTGGGGTCTTGGTTCCCCAACCAGGGGTCGAACCTGAGCCCTGTGGTGGGGGTGCCAAGTCCTGGCTGCTGGATGCCCAGAGAATTCCTGGCCCCAGAGAATATTAATATGTGTGAGCTCTCCCAGCATTCCTCACCTTGGCACCAAGACCCACCTCCATGCAATAGCCTGCAAGTTACAGTGCTGGATCCCTCAGACCAAACAACCAGCAAGACAGGACAGAAACCCACCAATCAGCAGACAGACTGCCTAAAGTTATATTAAGCTCACAGACACGCCAAAACACACCCCTTGACACAGCCCTGCCAACCAGAGGGACAAGACCCATCTCCACCCACCAGAGCGCAGGCACCAGTCCCTCCCAAAAGGAAGCCTACACAAGGCTCTGGACCAAACTCACCCACCAGGGGACAGAAACAAGAGGAACTACAACCCTGCAAAGGAAACCACAAACACAATAAGTTAAACAAAAAGAGACAACAAAGAAATATGTTGCAGACGAAGGAGCAATCCAAAAACTTACAAGAGCAACTAAATGAAGAGGAGACAGGCAATAAACATGAAAAAGAATTCAGAGTAATAATAGGAAAGATGACCCAAGATCTCAGAAAAAGAATGGAGGCATGGATCCAGAAGATACAAAAATGTTTAAGAAGGACATAGAAGAACTAAAGAACAAACAAACAGTGATGAACAATACAATAACTGAAATGAAAAATACATTAGAAGGAAGCAATGGCAGAATAACTGAGGCAGCAGAAAGAATAAGGAAGCTGGAAGACAGAATAGTGGAGAATAGTGG